GACATCGGATCTCGCTTGCCCGCGCGCCCGCAACGGGGAAGCTCGAACGGGGGGATGGAGCAACACGTCAACTCCCCCATGTCCTCACCATGAAACTCGCGACCCCGACGGCGACATGGCACACCATTGCCGTCGCTGTGCTGCTGCTGCTGCTTGCTTGCGGGGCGCACGCCTCGCTGGGCGACCGGCTGCCTGATTTCAAGAATTGCGTTAAAGTGAGTATGATGTCGTCGTTTGCGGGATCTGTGTAAAAGAAGGGTGAGGGATATCGGAAGAAGACGCTGGGGTAGTAGAGGAGGCGAGGATAGTAGAGAGTAGAGTTGAGGCTGATTGAAGACAGGTCTGCGTCGAAACCAATTGCGATGGCCCTGATCCAACACCCATCCGTATGTCCCATCTACTCTCATAGCCACCGCCATCAATCTAATCCTCGACCTCCCAGCCCTCCAACACCGCCTTCTCCTCTGGACCTGCCCCGCCGAATGCGACTATGTCTGCCAACACATCATAACCGACAAGCGTCTATCGCGGGACCCACCGCACCTGTCTCCGATCCTCCAATTCCACGGCAAATGGCCCTTCCACCGCTTCCTCGGCATGCAAGAACCCTTCTCCGTAATCTTCTCTCTGCTCAATTTCCTCGCCCACGACTGGGGCATGTCAAAGCTGCGGCAAACCATCCCGGCAACGTACCCGCTCAGGAAATACTATCTGCTGTTTGGCTGGTTTGGCATGAACAGTTGGGTGTGGAGTATGGTTTTTCACACGAGGGACTTTGGGTGGAGCGAGAAGATGGATTATTTCGCGGCGGGGGCGAGCGTCATGTATGGGCTGTACTACACGCCGATCCGTGTGTTCAGGTTGGATCTCGAAACGAAGAATAGGCAGAGTGTGAGGAGGGCGTGGACGGGACTGTGTGTCGCGCTGTACGCGGCCCACGTCATCTACCTCACCTGCTGGTCCTGGGATTACACGTACAACATGGCCGCGAACGTGGCCGTTGGCATTGTCCAGAATCTCATGTGGAGCTGGTTCAGCATCAGCCGGTACAGGAAGTTGAAGCGGACGTGGGCGGCGTGGCCGGGGCTGATTGTGGCGTGGATTATCGTGGCGATGAGTTTGGAGTTGCTGGATTTCCCGCCGTGGAAGGGCATGATTGATGCGCATAGTTTGTGGCATTTGGGGACGGTGGGGCCGACGATTGCGTGGTATAGGTGAGCTCTCCAATCTGCGTCGTGATCGGTTTGAGGATGCTAACTGGTGTGCAGTTTCTTGGTCAAGGACGCGCAGGAGGACTTGCAGGGTACGAGGTTGAAGGCGTAGTCCAGCGGTCATTTTGATGCTGCCGGACAGCCGATCGATGCTGTACTAAAAGCAAATTTCACAGTCATTGGTTTGTACAGTAGGGCGCTTGGTAACGGTCCCGTCTGCAAATGCTGCGCAATGGGTCTTCCATCGTATGTACAGAAAGTGGTCATGAGTTCTTTCTCAGTGGAGGTAAATCGATACTGATTGGACACGCTCCGACGATCATTGCTGTGCGGGCTGGCTTCGACATCCCTAGAACAACACCCCGGATGGATCGATTCTGTCCTCGAGGAGCCATTTAATTTCTAGTCTCATGTTTTCTTGTTTTCTTGCAGTTGTTGAAGACCTCCCTCACCACTTCTCAGACCTAAATAACAATCTTTGTAGCGCTAATCCCCTCCTTCAACACATCAATCGCCTTATTCAACCCCTCCAGCCCTCCTTGAACAACCTTAATACTCGGACTCGGCACCACCTCCCCACTATGCAGTCTCGGCTGAAGCCACGTCCACCACACCTCCCGCATGAACGCGTCCCTCTCCTCCGCATCCGTAGGCCCCGCCACAAACTTCACCTCCACCTCCTCTGCCTTCGGGCCATCTGGGTCAAGTCTCGGCGCATGCGCGAGCCGCGCTCCCTCCTCCGGATTCATAGCCTTCAGAATCTCCAACGAGGGCGCCAACGAGCCGATGACAGCGCCGTAGCCAACCGAAACATTGACGCCGTCGACCTTGATTGCCCGGACGATATCGTCGACGACGTTGTCATCGTAGTAATCGAACACCTTGCTGGCGCCCAGAGTCTTGATGTACGCGTGGTGTTTCGCGCTGGCGGTCGCATAGACAGTGAACCCCATGAGTTTGGCTATCTGCACGGCAAAGCTCCCCACGCTGCTCGAGGCGCCCCAGACGAGTATGCCCTGCTTGTCTGCGGGCGTGTAGCTCGTGTTCAGGGGCATGTCGATGGCGTACCAACCCGCAAACGTCGTGGTCACTGCCATCGGAAGCAGCGTCCCCTCGTTGAACGACCAGCTGTCTGGTAGCGTCACGGCGTTCACGGCGGGGACAAGGACGCGTTGCTGGAAAGCTCCATATTCTGGCTTCCCCTGCGCGGCAAAGGCGTGCGAGAACGCGGCTACGCGGTTACCTGGTTGGGGAGCTGTGGACAGGACGGAGGAACCGGTGGAGATGACGATCCCCGCTATGTCGAAGCCGCCGATGGCGGGGAAGGAGGAGATTGCGAAATTGAGGTCGCGCGTGTAGATGTCGATGGGGTTTAGGGCGAGGGCGCGGACTTCTATGAGCAGTTCGGAGGGGCCGGGGGTGGGGGTTGGGAGGGTTTGGATGGTGTAGGGAGAGCCTTTGGAGGGGAGAACGGCGGCGATGTGGTGAGTTGAGGGGGTCGGTTGGGATGAGAGTGTTTCTTTGGCTTTGTTGATGACGGATAACATGTTGAGGATGTTGTTCGGTGCGAGTCTTGTATCTGGGTTTTACTATGGAGTGATCTTGAGGGTTTGACCCAATTGCTTGGATGGAAGAGGTCAGAGTCGATATATGTATGTTCCCGGGCTCGCTGTTACGCCGCAGGACGTATGATATCTTTATCGTCAGACAGCTCTTTCGCTCTCCGAGACTCGACTCGGACTTGCTGTTACTCCGATATGCGCCTCGGTGATGCAGGTGTTATCCTTCAAAGAGCCAGGTCATGTTAACTCCGTATGGGGTTAACCGGATTTAAGTACGCATCCCCAGGTCAGATCAATGATAGTTTACCTACTATCATAGTAACTCCGTGAGATGTTGTATATGCGGTCAGGCCGTTCAACAAAGTTATCTTGCATTGTGAATATTTAGTGTGAAAATCGAGTGGTTGAAGCAAGCCGAGGCATACGTTAAGTTAGGTAGCGTGCCGAAGGATGGAGAACGTCTCGTAGTTCTGAGCCATAACCATTGTGCCTCCCAAGCAAGCAAACAACTCTCGCCTCTCGTGATACGCAGACGATATGGATGGTGTTGAAGTCTCCCCTTGTCCGCGGGTATTCCATCTCGGCAATTTTCTCGGCCCGCAAGGTCGACGTCATTTTGAGTTGTCGTGAGCTCCAGCTTCAAGCTCCCATTTCCGTCGCAACCTGCACATCACCAATACCCGTTGTCACAACCATCCAATGGCTTCCCGAAGAATACTCTCGACGGCCGCAAGGCCACTGACCACCGCCTATCCGACCATGCAAGCCTCCGCCGCTTCGCAACGACGTCCCATCTCCGCATACGGCTACGAGCAAGCCAAAGCCCTCGTCTTCTCCAAATACGGCGAGCCCGGCGACGTCCTCAGCCTCCACGGGCACTCCATCTCGCCCGCGCACTCCGACAAGCTCACCCTCCGCTTCCTCGCCTCCCCCATCAACCCCGCCGACATCAACCAAATCCAAGGCGTCTACCCCTCCAAACCAACCTTCACAACCGACCTCAGCACCGCGCACCCCATAGCCGTCGGCGGCAATGAAGGCGTCGCCGAAGTCATCTCCGCTGGCTCTGGCGTCAAGAACCTCGCAAAGGGCGACTGGGTCATCATGAAGCAGCCCGGCTTCGGCACCTGGCGCACCCACGCCCAGACCGACGACTCCAACCTCCTCAAGATCGAAGACAAGACCGGCCTCACGCCCGTGCAGGTCGGCACCGTCAGCATCAATCCCTGCACCGCATACCGCATGCTCAAAGACTTTGCGCAGCTGAAGGAAGGCGAGTGGTTCATCCAGAACGGGGCCAACAGCGGCGTCGGCCGCGCTGCTATTCAGCTCGGCAAGCTCTGGGGTTACAAGAGCATCAACGTTATAAGGGCGAGACCGGAGGGCACCGAGGAGCTGAAGCAGGAGCTCAAAGACCTAGGCGCAGACGTCGTGGTCACGGACGAAGAGCTCCAGGAGAAGGGCTTCAGCGAAAAAGTCAAGGAATGGACCAACGGCGGTCGTGAACGCCTGCCCCTCGCCCTCAACTGCGTAGGCGGCAAACCCGCCACCGCCATGGCCAAACTACTTTCCCCCGAAGGCCATCTCGTCACCTACGGCGCCATGTCCAAGCAACCGGTGCAGCTGCCGACCGGCCTCCTCATCTTCAAGGATATCCACTTTGACGGGTTCTGGGTGAGCAAGTGGAGCAAGGAGAACCCGGAGGAGAAGAAGAGGACGGTGGACCATGTGTTGTCGTTGATCAGGGAGGGCAAGTTCAAGGACACGCCGTTTGATGAGGTCAGGTGGGATTTTGAGACCAAGCAGGATACTTTGGTGGCCGCGGTGCAGGGTACGCTGGGTGGGTTTAGGAGTGGCAAGGGGATCTTTGTGTTTGGCAGTACGTAGTGGTTGAGCCTTTCCAAATTAATTAATGACGTAAGGTCGAGGTGCTGATGCGATGCGATGAGCTATCTGTCTCTATTGCGAATCTCTTATTGGCGGGAAGAGGCAGAGCTCTCCAACCAAAAAAGGGACTTTGACTGAAGTCAGAGGCGACTAGCTACATATCGTACAAACCCACAATGTGGAACCGGACAGCAAAAAAAGAACGAAAGAACCAAGTCAAACCTCGCACAACCTTCACCAAAAAAGAAAGTCAAAAATATCAATTATGCGGGAGGCGAGAGTCGAACTGGTCATCTGGTTAGCTCACATCCTCATGATCACATGCGACACCGATTTCCTATTCGGGAAGGAAGGACTCACCTCGCGATGTCTGCCTATCGGGTTGGGAGGGCAGCGTCTTAACCACTAGACCACTCCCGCATTTCCGTTCTTCCATTTTGTTAAGTGGTTTCTGGTAAGAGTGGTATTTATATGGCAGTAGGCTGGGGGGCTTGCAGGGCAAACAAACAGCGTGGACGGCGTTTGTGGTGGGTGCATTGGAGCTGTTGCTGATCGTAGAAGGGATGCTTGGATTTGGGGTGATTGAGGAGCGGGATTGCATGCAGCTATGGAAAGAGTGGGCTTTCCTGGTGTTTGGGTCGGAGATGTTTGTTCGGGACGATCGTTCTGCAGCGACCTCAACGCAGCGTCCCTTCTTCTCAGGGCCGGAGGTTGCCTTGCATCGTTTGCAAACGGTGATGAAGTATAGCACTTGCCATCTTGATATAGGGCGTGAGGTAATCTCATCCATAAGATGTCGAGTTGTCCGAAGGTTTCTTTGGATGAACTTAGTTGGATATCATCGGGCTGACAACGTCGAGTACGTGGATGATGAACAGTAGCATCTTTTCTATTATCTTCTACACTACACCATCATCATCGTCGACATCAAATGCTTTAACCCTGTCTGTTGCAGAGGAAAATCAGCAAGAGCTAGGGGCTTATGGGGTATCAACATGCTCACCAACGCAAGACACTACCAGCCAGTTCCTTTTAAAACCACATCGATCCAACAATATTGTCTGCAAGAACAGAGATGTCAAAGACCCGGGTCTTAGTCCATTTTTGCGACAAAGCCACAAAGAGACATATACGCTTGAGTCAGAGCCTTTCGAGGGTTCTGAGAAGCCGAAGTCGGGATTCTGTAGCCACCCCCGCCTAGCTACCCGGATGTTGCCCTCAGCCCATGATGACTATATATGAGACCACGTGCTGCCATAGAAGTCGCACTATAGTTCTTCCGTCCTTCTAGTTGTGCAAACAACTAGACTGAAGGATACGATTCATACTTTCAGTACCTTGATCTTCCACATTCAATGGAGTTGGTGTTGTAGGACTGTGGCTGTGGCTGGAATGGGGATAATCATGATGATAAGGAGTAGTGTCGGTGAATGGTAATAGTACTCATTATCCATTTATTGTTATTATTATGATGATTATTATTATTGTATTCAAGGATCAAGATCGCTATTAATTAGTCTCCGCCTAATGTATACTTTCTATAGCAAACTATTAGGACATCACAGTCACAAGACTTATAGTATTAGTCGAAAACAAGTCGTAAAAATCCCGCGTATCTAACATCCAGCAATATATCGCCAAATCCTACTTGTCCCTTTGTTGTCAAATTCTAGACTTGGTCGATAGTGAAGACTCCCATCACCCCGAGAAGACTCGAGTCATGACTTCAACATAAAACGGAAAAATGTAGGGTGATACTTTCTATTCCTGTATCGGAAACCAGCACGTAATATACGGCAGAATCGGTCTACAGTAGAATAAAGACAATCTGCCTACCTAAGAAGCCACAATCTCCTAGAGTTTTCTACGCATGAGATTAGTAGCACTATTAGTCTGTTAAGTACACACAATTAATGCATAGTAATGTTATGTATATAACTCACTAAACCCCATCGTCATTATTATTATAGCCATCATCATCATCACAGAGTTCCCAGCACACAGCGTTATAAAATGACGACCTCCGATCCATGGTGCAAGATACAAGGCCTCGTCCCCCGTCCCCGCCAGCGCCCCCAGAAAGCGTAGTTTGCAAAACCCAACGCCATCCAAGACACAGCCGCAGACCACTCTCACACGTCCCTCGCAGTGACTCGGCTGACACTACAGCCAAGGCATCAACATCAACTGCTCGTAACCGTGACCAGCAAAGTCAAGGGCTCATGTGCAACCAAACGCAAAGCCCTTGAGATTCGAGGCTCATAGCTTGACAAGGAAAAGTCGTGAGACGAGGTTGGTATTCGAGGAAAGCTACTGAACAGGTTAGGTGGCGGATGATGGGGGAGATGTGGGAGCGGTCGGCGCGCTGCGGACGCGCTCGGCTCTTGGGATCAGCGTCGACAACAAACAGCAGTCTGGTTAATGGCAAACAATAACAAGCCCCAGTCAACTGCGCGCAAATCACCCGGAAAAGTCGCACGCACAGTGAAGAGGTACAAGTTTCAAGAAGCCTCAGCATTCAATTAAAATCAAAGGAAAGTATCCTTCATGATGCTCTCTCTCACCACCAAGTCCCCTCCATCCATTTCCCTCTTTCGCAAGAGACTCTCGCTGTATGCGCACGCCCAGATAAACATTACACATTTCGCAAACCAAAGAAACCCAACCCAGCTTTTTTTTTTACATTATCCTACAAGAGGAACATAGCGACCAACCCACCAACCGCCGCGCCCGCAAACGAACCCTTGGCGTTGCTCGCCGCGCCGGTGTAATACGGCGTCGCGCTACCAGCTGGCGTGCCAACCGGAGTACCATACGGCGTACCAACAGGCGTCATCGTCCCAACAGTCATCACGGTGCCTGAAATGACTGGGACGGCAGCGGAGGTGATAGCGGTGGCGGAGGCAGCGGCAGGGGTGCCGGCGGCGAGGCCAGTGCTGGTGGAGACGGTGGTGCCGATGGTGACGACGGAGGTGGTGAAGGCGACCTGGGGGACGGTGACGGCGGTGCTGATAACTGTCGTGGTGCTGGAGCCGGCGATGGTGTTGCCGGCTGAGGCGCCGGAGCCGTAGGTGCAAGGCACGGTGACGGTCTGGACGATGGACACAGTGGTCACGGGCGTGGCAGCGGAGGTCACGAGGGGAGTGGTGCTGGCGCCGATGGGGCTGGAGGCGGCGGGGGCGGAGCTGCCAGCAAGGATAGACGAGACCTCGGCGGAGGAGGGGGCGGGGGTGACACCGGCGGCGGGAGCGGAGTAGGCAGGGGAAGAGACACCAGCGGCAGAAGTGACACCAGCGACGGAGCTCTCGGCGGCGGGGGTCGAGGCAACGGGGGTCTGGGTCAGGGTGACCGGGCAGATGGTGGTGGAGACGGCGACGGTCTCGGTGACAATGACCTCGCTACTGATCGTGCCGCTGACAGAGGTGGAGGTCTTGGTGTTGGTCGAGTAGATGGTCGATGTGCTCATGAGCGTGGTCGTGATCGGGGTGGACACGGCGACAGGCACAGAGGCAGCAGGGGCGGAAGAGACACCAGCGACGGAGCTCTCCGCGGCAGGGGTCGAGGCAGCAGGAGTCTCAGTGGCAGTGACAGGGCAGATCGTCGTGGAGACAGCGACCGTCTCGGTGACGATAACCTCGCTGCTGATCGAGCCGCTGACAGAGGTGGAGGTCTTGGTGTTGGTGGAGTAGATGGTGGAAGTGCTCATGTAGACGCTGGTGACGGGGCTAGAGACTGCGACAGGGCTAGACTCAGCAGGGGCCGAAGAAGCACCAGCAACGGACGAGGCCGGAGCGGAGGAGCCAGCAACGGGAGCGGAACCAGCGGGAGCGGAGGCACCAGGGGTCATAGTGGCAGTGACCGGGCAGATTGTGGTGGAAACCGCGATAGTCTCGGTGACGACGACCTCGCTGCTGACGGAACCAGAAACGGAGGTGGTGGTCTTGGTCAGGGTGGAGTAGATGGTGGAAGTGGTCATCAGAGTAGTGGTGATGGGAGTAGAGACAGCAGGGACAGACGGAACGCCAGCAGCAGCGGACGAGGGAGTAGAGCCAGCGGGGGCGGAGTAAGCCGGGGAGCCAGCAGCAGGGCTGGACGAGAGACCAGCAACACCCGAGGAAGGAGTCTCAGTCGCGGTGACGGGGCAGATGGTGGTGGACACCGGAATAATCGAGGTGACGATCTGAGGAGAGGTGCGAGCGGGGCAGTTGGTGACGTCCGGAGCGCAGCTGGTGACGGTGATGAGCTGGGTGGAGTACACGGTGCTGGTGGTGTACCCAGCCGGGGCGGAGCCAGCCGGGGCAGAGCCAAAGGCAGAGGAAACGCCAAGGGCACCCGAAGAAGCGGCCGGGACGGAAGCGGCAGGCGTAGAGGCGGTAGCCGGGCTAGTTCCGAGGGTGATGGAGCTGGGGCAGCCGGTAACGATACCAGGGTTGGAGCCGACGTAGGGAGCGCAGATACCGACCAGGTAAGAAAGAGCCTGAGAGATCTGAGTGTCATCCTCACCCCATGCGGTAACGCAGTCAATGACGTTGTCAGTGAAGTCGGCGACCTTGCAGTAGCAGTCGTAGTCGGTGTTGCTGGAGCAGCCGGACTTGTGGATCCAGGTGTTCATGCACTTGGGCAGGACATCAGGGCAGCTGGCTGAGGGAGCGGCCGAGCTGCTGGCAGCGACAGTCGAGGAGACGCCAACGACGCCAGACAGAGCCGGGGTACCCGCGCTGTAGCCGGGAGTGTATTCAGGAGTGCCAACAGAGTAGGCAGGGGTACCAGCAAGGTAAGAGGCAGCGGGCGCAGACGAGACACCAGCAACGGAGCTCTGAGCAGGCGAGGCGGGGGAGCCAGGAGTCTCAGTAGCAGTGACCGGGCAGACGGTGGTAGAGATGGCGATCAGAGAGGTCGACAGAATGGTGCTCCTGGCCGGGCAGTTGGTAACGGTAGCAGCGCAGCTCGTGATGGTGTAGACGCTGGTGGCGTAGACAGTGCTCGTGGTGTAGCCACCGACGGGCACAGTAGCGTTGGCACCGGAAGAAAGGAGAGAGAAAGACAGGCCGGGAGCGCTGCTCGCGCCCTCAACGCCAGAGTATGGAGAGCTTCCAGCGGGAAGACTGGCCGCAGGAGTAGGGATGATGACACCGGGGGTACCACCCAGAGATGCGCCCATGGAAGCACCAACACCAGCACCAAAGGACGCACCGGCGGATTCTCCAGCACCGAACGAGGCAGCAGGGGCTCCTCCAATGCCGAACGAAGCACCGGCAGACTCTCCAGCGCCGAACGAGGCAGCGGGAGTTGCACCAGCACCGAACGAGGCTCCGATACCAGCGCCAAAGGAAGCACCAGCGGACTCACCAGCACCGAGAGAAGCAGCAGGAGTCGCGCCAACACCGGCACCGTACGAGGCACCAGCGCCACCACCAAGG